AAAAAAGGGGGGGGGGGGATTTCTTTCAGGGGTAACGTATGGGATCAGTTAGGCCTATACTCAATCAGTTATCTGTGTGAAATGCAACTGCTTGTTAGATTATTAATGTGACAGATAGCTTCAGGCCACAGAATATTGCTTTAACATCTTCATTACTTTCTCAAATGGCAATAGCCGTGTAGTAAAGCAGAGGTCATTGTTGATAAAGTCAGAGATGAGATTCCTGTATGAATGCCTGTCGTAATTGCGCAATTGTAGCCTCTAGACTAGACCGTGTTAGGTTTATTAATCTGCTGATATTTGGTCATTCAGACATTATCAGGATCTCCTTCCCGTCCTTCCAGGTCCTAAATTTACCAACAATAGGCTCAAATATATATATATCCAATCCTGTTCATCAAGGTCCACTGTCCTTCAGAGTCAAATGAGCCAGCAAATCAAAGTTTTGTGACACCCCTGATCTATATCTAGCTCTATCAACCACCCTGCTCTCTAGTTATCAGTATCATCATTAACATCAGCCTTTGAAAACCCCTAAGTGGATTGACCCCCACTCTGTACTATTTAGTGAAATTGATTATGCTTGTTATTTTGTTTGTTTTTATCAGTTTGAGGCGTCCTGTCCCAATGGACTATGTCCAGGATGGAGTGTTATCCTGAAAGGAGAGACTCCAGCAGAGGCCAACAAGTAAGTCCTTACCCTCTCTATAAAGCTCATTGTCTAATGGAAAAGGAGTTGTCTAAAAAGAAACCTTGAGTATTGTGCTAATGGCAAACCATAGATAATATTTGCTTCTTTTATCGCTCTTAAGAATGGACAATCAGATGGTAACACTGTACAATAAGGTTCATCAGTTAACTATGTTATTTAGCATGAACTAATAATGAACTGCACTTATATAACATATATTAATCTTTGTTAATGTTAATTTCAACATTTACTAATAATGTATTCATTTTGTTTGCATTTTAAAAAGTTTGTAGTAAGTTTTGTACTTTGATGTTGGCTTGGAAAAGCCTTGAAAGTGTAGTTTTAACAGCTTTAAAGCTCATTAATGTATATTTACTTGGTTCAATTAATAAAGTATTCTCGTGAGCGTATAATATGCCATTGAAAATACATACGGGTAAGGGGTTCTAATGTTGGTCGCCATGTTGCCCCTCCATCTTGAAAGTACATTAGCCAAAGAGGGACATACCCTTTAATTCAAGCTTCGCCTTTCACGTTTGAGTTAACACTCATGGACGAGGTCGAACTGGAAGCCATGTTAATCTTGGACTACATTGGCCACCGTAGGAGTTAAAACTAAATCGAAATTGAGAGGAACAGAAACTAATATTCATGGATGGTCATATACCTTTTCACCGCTAGATGGGGGTAAAAATCACACAGTGTAGCTTTAACCCTTAAACAGGCAAGAGTGGCAAATGATCAGCAACATATCCAAGGATTTTTTTAAAATATTTGATATATTTTGGATTTTATGAGTATCTCCCTGTTGCCCTATTAGGGTATAAAAAAAGCCGAAGTCATCAATATTTTTATGATTTATTTGATAGAAAAAAAGATTAACGTGCAAAATATATCATATTTTATAAAAATCTACACAAAGTCTTCAAGGGTTAGTTCACCCAAAAATGAAAATTCTGTCAGTATTTACTCACCCTCATGTTGTTCCAAACCTCTATGTGTTTATTTGTTCTGCTGAACACAAAGGAAGATATTTGGAAGAATGTTTTAATCAAACAGATCTCATTCCCCATTGACTACCATAGTATGTATTTTTCCCTACTATGGTAGTCGATGGGGAATGAGATCTATAACTTGTCAGTTTTTTAATGCCATCATTGCAACATGCGTGTAGCTCATTTTTTGGATATTTTTAACTCAATTATTACATATGGCACCTTTAAGTAGAACGGAAAGCCAACATAAAAAAAATGTCAATACAATCATAGGAGACACGCATGCATGTGGCAATTCATTTATGGGCAATTTTCTTGAGAATGCTGAACAGAACAGATTTATCAAACCAGATGTGCTTCGATTATTATTCCTTTTATAGAGACAAACACAAGCTAAAACATAATCTGTGGCAAACGTGATTTTCTTCCAGCATTTCGGGTTAAAATTCACTTGACAGAGAAAAACACAAGTGCCTCATCTCAGCACAAGAAGCTGTCTCAGGATAAGTATTGGCCAGCATGATTGGTTCATTATAGTTCTTTCTTTCTCTGTCCTCAAGGTTTGAGATCAATTTCCTATGCGAACAAGATGACAGAATAGCCTTCCATTTCAACCCCCGCTTCAATGAGTCCGATATCATCTGCAATTCCTACCTGGCCAACCACTGGGGGGAGGAGGAGAGGTGCAGCAACCTCCCTTTCGGAGTAGAGGAGCCTTTCCAGGTGATAAAGCATCATTTGGTTATACTTTATTTTAAGGTGTCATTGTTCAGCCCGTTCTCATCCCAGGGCGTCATATACTCACCCTTTTGCGTCAATATATGGGCCAGAAGGCACCTCCTAGTGGTCTAACCCTAACACTACCACAGACCTAAACCTACCCATAACCGAAGCGTGTTATATTGACGCTAAAGGGTGCCATGTGCGTTGGATGTTAAAAGCGTCACTATATGACGCCCTAGGATGAGAATTGCGAATTGAATTATGAGTGAGTTATTTAATCAGCATCAACTCCCTGTCTCTCAACAGATTGAAATTTACTCTGACAATGATAACTTCCATGTTTACATTGATGAAGTGATGGTGATGCAGTATAAACACCGTGTGGAAGAGCTGAACACCATCACAAAAGTACAAGTGGTGAACGACGTCAATATCTCTTCTTTAGAGATCACCAAAAAACACTTTTTCTGAGGGTGGGCCGTAAGGACAAGCAGGCGATTCATTTGGAACAGGCCGTTTCTTTGTTTAACAGTGTTATCGTTTTAGCTTTTTTTGTTTTTTTGCATTTCTGTTCACACACCTATCATGCCTCTTGAGGTCATCTGCTTGTAAAGGTGTGATTATTGGTATTGAAATACCTTAGCTGAACTACATATTCATATGAATCTGTGAATAAATGAAAGGATTAAAAAAAGATTTATGAAAGACTCATTTGGTCAGAGTGTTCTGGGTGAATTCCTGGTTTCATAAGTGTACAAAAAAGATTCTGGAGATCCATCTGGGCTGACTTATGAGAAAATGTTCTAAGAAATCAATACTAAAGATATGCTCACATCTCACTGAATGTGAGAATTTCAATGAGCACGGAAACATTTACCGTAGAATAGAAATATATCATGATACACGTACTGACATAAAACACTTCAACCAGTTTTCAAATAAAAAAATCTTATAATGATTATTAATCTATGTGTAGAAACTGTACAAATGACAAATAAATCAAAGTCTGGTTAACTTTAGATTTTTTTCACTCTTTAACAGAACTTCATATGACAAAATATAGAAACAGTATTGATTTTTATGCTTTCCTGTTACAAATGTAGGATTGGTAATTCTTTTTTTTTCTTTTTTTTCAAAAACAGTGATATTCTGAAATATCATTAGATTTAGAATGAATTCTATGTGAATGCATATTAATGCATATAATTAAAATATAATTGCATTGCTTCAATCTTTAGTGTCACATATCCTTCAGAAATCATTCTTATATGATGATTTACTACTCAAGAAACATTTCTTTTTATGATCAGTTGAATATTTTTGAGAAACATGTAGTACTTTTTTTATTCTTTTATGAATAAAAAGTTCAAAAGCATTTAAAATAGAAGTATTTTGCAACATTATACAAGGGATATAACATTAACAATTAACATTAACATATAACATCGTACTAACCCCAAACCTTTGAATAGTAGTGGTCAAACACTTCTTTTTCAATCAGTGATAATGCAGTGTTCCCATTTTTGGTCTGTAGCCTGACAGCCACAGGCAGACTAAATATAGCAAAGAGATATAACAAAGTACATCACATCATATTATGCTGTTTATAACCTGAAAGCCCATAATAGGAATAGCTCATAATAGGCTGTTTAATGGCAGAAAATATCTATGTAAAGTATACTTTCTTCAATAGATTTTTGCTACAATTTTAAGCTGTGCCGGGGGAAAAAACTTTAAAAAATAATCCTAGAAATACATTAATTTTAAAAAAAAAATGTCTGTGGTTGTGATTGTATTGCACTGTGTTGCACAGATTTCTGTTACTTAAGAAGTGTCCTGGGTTGTTTTATGGACACTTTTTCCACTCATGCTCATTAAGTTTGAAGCATGGATTAAGTGCTGATCAATACCGTCACTCTGGACCACGCTATTGACTCCAGCTCCATTGATCAAATTGTTTGGTGTGCTTGTTTGTTTTTTTATAAAGCATTTTGAGCTATATGAGGTCAACATGATTAGACTATTATTATTGTTCTATTGAATTACACATATGGCCATGTGATCTCATGGCGGTAGGCCTATCCCATGTGGCGACCTTTTCCGTGTAGAATAAACCAAAGTTCTAGAAAATCTCTCATTCGGGTGGAAACTATTTAATGGTATTCATCAAAAGTGTTGTTCATGTCGTTATGTGCACAACTTTTTAATTATCAAAACATTAGCTAGTAGATCTTTAATTACGCGGCCGTGTGTGTGTGTGTGCGTGCGCGCGCGGGAGCCATGAGGTGAATGAGAAAACTGCGAATCCCATTACATCAGTGACATGCATCGCCTCCGTCAGCAGAGAGTCGTGTGTGTGTGCCACTGCCACATCCGCAGACACTCGTTTCTTCCCCTCAGTTGGAGATGAAGGAGAAACACACTGAACACAGTCCGTCCTCTAACTGCACCTGCTACTGCACACACATCGGTATGTACTTATATTTCTCTTGATGCGGTTTACATTGTAGATTAAATAATTACTCTAATGCACGACTTAAGTTAATAAGGAGAAAGTGACACATGCGTAATATGTCAGTGGAAAATCGCTGGTAGGTAGGCTAGTACATAAAAACAGCTGGATTTACGACACTACATATTAAACGTTTTATGTTCAAGCAGCTATTAAATATAGATAATTGTTGCTCCATGATCCTTCACTTCCGAGAGTTTGCGTTATTCACTATTTAATTCTGAGTGATATTGAAGGAAAAAAATCAGCATGCAATTTCAAAAGACTTATTATTAATACTAGCCTGTGAGGAGAGTTCATTTATAAAATTATTTCCGAATTACAATCACACAATGCTCGTTTTATCTAGTGGTTTTGTTTGTTGTTATTGCAAATACATAGCTCAAAAGTGTCTGAAATTAGAATAATTTCGCTAAATTGTGTCTTTAAGCAACATCACACTCTATTTATTCTGCTGATTTACGGTTACAGTGACTTTTTGTGGTTTGCATAATTTACAATTTATCTTGCATGACAAAAGAGAAGATTAAGAAAATGAAAATATGATATTAAAAGAGAGAGTTATGTGAGTTATCTATCATTGATCAGGCAGTCGATTTTAAGACACACAGTTTAGTCAACGCAATTGCTTGGATTTCTTGTTATCTTGTAATTTAATTTCCCTCCTAATGTGTGCCATGTTTCCGTAGAAGGCGGTTGGCTAAATGATGGATTTCATTACCTTACTCGTTTTGGCTGAAGATGAAGATGCCTTAAGCTTTAGTACTGGACTCTGGGATGCCTGACGCAGACCGCATTTCAAAACATCGCATTCCTCCTGAATCCTTAAGGGAAACAAAAGGAATATGAATTTCACTGCAGGTTTGCTGAAAAAGGAGCACATGCTCTTAAACACCTTGCTGTCGTTGAATGTTTCTTTCCACGGTGCCGAGGACTTCATGAGCGACGTTTACCTCCACCAGAGTGGAGAGCTCGAGAGATTGCTTCTGCTGACGATCAAAGAGCCCACCACTATCGCTCTCACGGTGATGTATTCATTATCATTCGTGGTGGGATTCATTGGAAACCTAATGGCCATTCGTATGCTTACCTGCCAGAAGAGTAAGAGGCTGCAGAGCATCAGTGCCACCCGGAATTTACTCGTGAACCTGGCAGTGTGTGATCTGATGGTGGTTTGCATCTGCATGCCCATCACCCTCGGCCACACCATTTACACCGCATGGGTGTACGGAGACCTCCTGTGCCGGGCCGTTCCCTTCATCCAGGCCGTGTCCGTGTCGGCCAGCGTCCTCAGCCTGACCGTCATCAGCGTCAACAGATACTACAGCGTTCACAGCCCGCTGAATTCCCTCTCGTACTTCACCCAGAAGAAGATCTACGTCACCATTGTGTGCGTGTGGGTCTTGTCCTCTGCCATTTGCGCGCCTTTGCTCTTCATGATCAAGCTGGACAAGATCCACTTGATCGACATCGCCGTGCCAATCTGCCGAGAGCTGTGGCCGCAGGCTAGACTCAAGCAGGTGTATAACGTGCTCCTTTTCGTAGCTCTCTACTGCATCCCTGTGACCTTTAACCTGATCATCAGCTTCCTGACTGGCCGGAAGCTCTGGAGGGCTTCTCAACATTTCGCAGACTTCGATCCGCACAGCCTGGCCATACACGCCTCCCGTCTGAAGATGCGCAAGAAGATCGCCAAGGTGGTGGTCACTTTGGTCCTCCTGTTTGCCGGCTCCTGGCTCCCGCTTTACGTGGCAGACATCCTCATTGACCACGAGGTTCATCCCCCTCACTGGGTTCTGCAGACTCGGCCTTTCGCACAGTGGTTGGGCCTTACTAACTCCAGCCTCAATCCCATCTGTTATTGTTTCTTGGGCGATTTGTACCGTTCTGCCAGAGCAGTCAGGTCCAAGTACCATCAGAGGATGCTCTCTGTCTTTCGATACCCCAGCTCTTTTAAACTGTCCAGTTTGCTCTCACTCAAAACACAGAAAACTGGCCGGCGACAAGGTGCCGTGAGCCAGGTGTCAGTTGAGACTCTTTCTGACTGGTGTTCCAACAACAGCCAGATGGTTTCTCTCCAAAGCCTCTCAGAGAAGATAACGTCTACAAGCAATCTTGAATTATCGAACTTGTAGTAAGGATGCATGTTACCTGAAAGGACACAGAGCACTTAAAGGGATTGTTCCCCTGAAAACATTGTTTGTGGTCCACAGAGCAAAGAAAGTCATACAGGTTTCGACATGAGGGTGAGTAGCCTAAATAATGACAGAATTTCCATTTTTGGGTGGACTATCTCTTTAAGTATTGTTCATTTGTCTTGCAGTACTGTCAAAGAGCATGTGATTCTAAAGTAACATGTTGCATAGTTTGTGTTTGTAACCACCCACAGTTACATTGCATCATCGCATACACATACAGTGTGACTTCCTGTAAATAAGATAAAGACAGAAATTCTGAATTAAGGCCAAGACCAATGTTCGCATGCAAAAATGTGATAATTGTGATTTGATCATTTGAATGAACAGCTATTCAGACCAAGTTGAACATTCACATGCAGTTAATGTTGCAGTTTTTTTTCTAAACTCTTGACACACATTTCGCCCAATTTAACACAAGATTACGTCCAATTTTCTAATTGCACATTATAGGCGTTATAAGAAAAATAACACTAGACAAGCAGCCAATACAACAGCGATCAATACATGTTAGTTTAGCTACTTGAAAACAAGTGCATTGCACTGGAAAGACTGTTACATCAAAGAGCTATGACTTGAGCAGCTTATTTTTCTAGGTGACAGTGAATAGCACACGGAAAAGATCCAGATCTGGCACTCATTCTTTGTAGCCTACTCTTTTATTTGGTGTGGTTTGATTAAAAAAAATTAAAAAGCAAATACAAACCCACCCTTAAACCTATCCAGCTCCACCCCCTGATCCCTAAACCCACCCAGCTCCACCCCTGATCCCTAAACCCACCCCTAAACCTACCCATCTCCACCTCCTGATCCATAAACACACCCCTAAACCTATTCAGCTCCACCCCCTGCTCCCTAAACCCACCCCTAAAAACTACCCAGCTCCACCTCCTGATCCATAAACCCACACCTAAACCTATCCAGCTCCACCTCCTGATCCATAAACCCACCCCTAACCTTCCCAGCTCCAACCCTGATCCCTAAACCCACCCTTAAACCTATCCAGCACCACCCCCTGATCCCTAAACCCACCCCTAAACCTACCCGGCTCCACCTCCTGATCCCTAAACCCACCCCTTAACCTATCCAGCTCCACCCCCTGATCCCTAAACCCATCCCTAAAACTACCCAGCTCCACCTCCTGATCCATAAACCCACACCTAAACCTACCCAGCTCCAACCCTGATCCCTAAACCCACCCCTAAACCTACCCAGCTCCAACCCTTGATCCATAAACCCACCCCTAAAACTACCCAGCTCCACCTCCTGATTCCTAAACCCAACCCTAAACCTATCCAGCTCCACCCTTGATCCATAAACCCACCCCTTAAACTACCCAGCTCCACCCCTTGATCCATAAACCCACCCCTAAAACTACCCAGCTCCACCCCTGATCCCTAAACCCACCTCTGAACCTATCCAGCTCCACCCCCTGATCCCTAAACCCACCCCTAAACCTACCCAGCTCCACCCTCTGATTTCTAAACCCACCCATAAACCTACCCAGCTCCACCTCCTGATCCCTAAACCCACCCCTAAAACTACCCCGGTCCACCCCCTGATCCCTAAACCCACCCCTAAACCTATCCAGCTCCACCCCTGATCCCTAAACCCACCCCTTAACCTATCCAGCTCCACCCCCTGATCCCTAAACCCACCCCTAAACCTACCCAGCTCCACCCTCTGATCCCTAAACCCACCCATAAACCTACCCAGCTCCACCTCCTGATCCCTAAACCCACCCTAAAACTACCCCGGTCCACCCCCTGATCCCTAAACCCACCCCTAAACCTATCCAGCTCCACCCCCTGATCCCTAAACCCACCCCTTAACCTATCCAGCTCCACCCCCTGATCCCTAAACCCACCCCTAAACCTACCCAGCTCCACCCTCTGATCCCTAAACCCACCCATAAACCTACCCAGCTCCACCTCCTGATCCCTAAACCCACCCCTAAAACTATCCCAGTCCACCCCCTGATCCCTAAACCCACCCTAAACCTACCAAGCCCCACCCCTGATCCCTAAACCCACCCTTAAACCTACCCAGCTCCACCCTCTGATCCCTAAACCCACCCCTAAACCTACCCAGCTCCACCCTCTGATCCCTAAACCCACCCCTAAACCTACCCAGCTCCACCCTCTGATCCCTAAACCCACCCCTAAACCTACCCAGCTCCACCCTCTGATCCCTAAACCCACCCCTAAACCTACCCATCTCCACCCCCTGATCCCTAAACCCACCCCTAAACCTACCCAGCTCCACCCTCTGATCCCTAAACCCACCCCTAAACCTACCCAGCTCCACCCTCTGATCCCTAAACCCACCCATAAAACTACCCCGGTCCAAAAAATCAGATTTTTCCAATTTCCTTCCCAAACATTTGTGTTGGTGTAAACAGGCCTTTAATGAAAATAATAATAATAAAAATAAAAAAAAGCAGGACAGGTATATTTTAAATCATGGGTTTTAAAACTGGGGTCCGGGGCCCCACAAAGTCCATTAGCAGAAACATTTGTATGATGAACACATAACAAAACACATAACCAGGACTCTCAGTAACCTACGTAAATATTAAACATGTTTAACACAGTCATTTTAAACATATTCACCAAATTGAATATTTTGCTATTTCATCATTCTTTCTAAATTTACATTGTTTTGTGAAAATTATATTTATTTCCAAGTCGCCATTACTCTTTTCTATGTCCTACAAATATGTTAAAGAATAGTTTAGTATTTCTGTCATTCTACACAGTTTTTCTTTGCGTCTGTTGCCTTTAGCTTGGTTGTAAGGCAATATAAGCTCAATTATAAAGCTGTTTAAAATTATATTTGTTGTGATTGTGTAAACTGCTATTGCATTAAAAAGAAAAATAAATGAAAATGTTTTAGGTTATGCATCTGACTGTACTCTAGCAGTTAGAAAGAATACACTGTCGCCTAATTGTTCAATCACTTGCTTTGGCTTTAGAACAAATACAATATAAAAGCCAATTATTTAATTGTTCTTACAATATCATGTTTAATATTTTCTCATACAGTGTAAATGGGTATTGATGTATGAATATACACTGTCCTGCCAAAAAAGTCGCTTTTTGGATTTAAATGGGCAAACGCTTAAGAGTTTTTGTCATTATCATTGTCATCCTGGAATATTTTTACATGGTTGTTTAAGAAATGAAAAGCTTCACACTCCATCAGTTAGGGTTGGAACGGAAGAACTGTCTGTTGCCAAACATTTAACATGCTAGAAACATAATAATCACAGCAATAATGATCCAATCATAGACAAGCATTTAAATGTCATCATATTGGGGTCCTTGACTTCAAAATGTTTTGAAAACCCTGTTTTAAATTACGGTGGATACAAAAAAAAAAAATGTAGTAAATGTATAGTGCATTACATCGATTTGTCATACTTTCTCTATAAACAACTGTGTACATTTTCATTCATTCAAATTTGTAATTTGGGTGCATGAAGGATGCAATTCGATTTTAATTAAATGTACTGTGCTTGATTGTGAATAATCATTTGTACTTTTTTAATGGAAGCCAATGTGAATAGAATCAGAGATGGTTCACTGTTAAGTTAACCTGGCCTCAGATTTTTGATGGGAACACCCACACACACGGGAACACACTCACAAACACAAGAAGAGAATACAATGAATTAAACAATCTTCGCCTCTTCTTTTCTGTTTTCATGACACTTTGTGAGATTTACAATAGCAAAAGATGGGCTAAACAAAATTCATAAAAGTCTGAATGACAGTGGGAACACTACAATAACAAAAGAGTTTGCATGAAGCCGTAATCCTCATTCAAGTAGCCTATTCATATGAATCCTTGTCTCACCAAGAGCTCCATCTTTGCCTTCCACCGACACTATAGCATTGCCCTTCATATTCATGCTAATTCTGATTAGCAACTGTCACAGCACTCAATCTGCAGAATAGGGCTTGATTAGCCTATAATACGCAATAATGATAATTTCACTTTAGTAAGAACGAGCGACTACTGAGAGCCGAGAAGCTGATGAATAGTAATTTTGTTACATACTTAAACCGCAGCAGTTCTTAACCCGAGCTCGGTAGCATGTCTTTCACAGGAACTGAGTGTTATAGAAAGTATAAGGAGCACATTTGGGATTAAAAAAACTACAACAACAACAACCCAGAATCAGTGAATATCTTGAAGATAGTATTATCCCCAGATGCACTGACATCAAATACGCTTTATAATCTGACACATTCTGCATTTATATTTCCAATAAAGAATATTGCAAATAAAATTATTGGTTTTAACTCAAATGAATATGAAAAATGAAGTGCGCCTCAAACACAAAAAAAGTTGAATTTGCACACCAAATTCAAATTACATTTTGTAATCCAAACTACACGTAGATCCATGATCATGAAGAACTGCAAAACGTACATGTGATGTAATAACAATGTAACATCCTGACCATAGATGACACAAAATCTCATCTCAGCACTTTTGATAGTCAAGTCAAGTGCTGTACACATACATACTTATGCGATAAGGACCAAACCAACATGACCAAGATACAAGAAATAAAAGACAGTAATACAATAAAATAATAAGAAAATAAAACAAACTCTCACACAACGTCAAATGCCAAACTGTAATAATAAGTTTTAAGATTAGATTTAAAAATAGTAATGGTTTGGGACTGCCTGATGTACAAGGGCAACCTATTCCACAACTTCACATTTCCAAACAGCACTGAAAATGCTCTTTCACCCCTAGATTTTAGTTTCACACGTGGGACTACTAAAAGCAAATGGTCAGCGGACCTAAGCGCTCTAGACGGAGCATAATGCCTAATCAGTTCCGTCATGTACCTAGGAGCAAGGCCATGAAGTGATTTAAAAACAAACATCAAAATTTTGAAATTAATTCTAAAAGAAACTGGTAACCAGTGAAGAGAGGAAAGAACAGGTGTAATATGTTCTCGCTTTTTTGTACCCGTCAGCAAGCGAGCTGCAGCATTCTGGACCCTCTGCAGTCTAGAGAGAGAGGCCTGACTAATGCCTATATAGAGGCCATTACAATAAACTAGACGCGATGAGATAAAGATATGGAGGAGTTTTTGAAAGTCTCTGGAAGACAGAAATGATTTCACCTTTGATACATGACTGATATTTCTTTAATTTTGTAATTCCATCTGAATATCACTATTTGTGTGATTTAGTCAGCCAAACCAGTTTTGTTGATCTATTTTTATGTCTCTGGAAATCAAAGTTTGTTGTGTTTATTTGTTAATTCGTTTCGCTTGATAAGACCCTTATTCATCATCTGGAATCGTTTAAAACAGTTTGCAGTTTGCACTGAAACTGTCATTTGGACCTTGAACCGTTTGGTTCCCATTGAAGTCCATTTATGGAGAAAAATCCTGGAATGTTTTCATCAAAAACCTTAATTTCTTTTCAACTGGAGAAAGAAAGACATGGACATCTTGGATGACATGGGGGAGTAAATTATCAAAAAAAGTTTTTAAAGTGAACTACTCCTTTAATCTTTACTAACAAACTAATACTTCTTTTTTGTTGTTGTTGTTTTTTTTAGTTTTTTTACAATTAATTCAGATTTTTAGATTCTGGGTCACTAGTTAAAGAAGAAAATGTATGACAACATGTGACTCTTTGGTTTTGTACAGATATTTTCTATTGAAGCTCAAGATTTTCTTTGAAAAATCTCA